ATACCAGGCTGTCCTGGTGCTCCTGGACTTCCTGGTCTCCCGTTGTTACCTGGTCGACCTGGTGGTCCTGATGGTCCTGGGGCACCGACTCCATAGCTACTGCCGTTCTGACCAGGCGAACCAGGAGCTCCTGCAGGTCCTGGAGCACCGGCTGGACCGGGATAGCTTCTTGATCTGGTTCCTGGAAATGTTGCACAATAGAGAAAGTGCTTATTATTCTGGTACCAGCATTTCCACAGCTCTTACCTGGTGCTCCTGGCGCTCCATCTTGTCCTGGTGCACCGGGATTTCCGTTTTGTCCAGGTGCTCCCGGAGGTCCAGGAGGTCCTGCGGGGCCTGAAATACCGTAATTGCTCAAATGATGTTTAAGAAGAATTATTCATTACGAGCTTGACCTACCTGAACCGCCACCTGATCCGTCTTGCCCTGGATTTCCTGGGGCTCCTGCTGGACCGGGAGCTCCGCTAGGTCCAGGAGCACCAGGAGGTCCAGCAGGGCACTGGATACAACCGGATGAATGGAATGAAGTATCAGTGTAACCCGAAGCACCTGGCTGGCCAGGATGGCCAGGAATTCCGTCCTGTCCTGGTATTCCTGCATATCCAGGAGGACCTGCACAAATGAATTTAAATTTCAGATCATAACCATATTTTTTGCAGATCTTACCAGGCGGGCCCCGAGGACAGCCGGAAGCTTGAGGTGCGCAATTGCATTCTCCTCCTACTGATCCTCCTCCACCGCCTGTGACAAAGCCGCCTCCGTCAGCGTATGTTCCCTGTCTCTTGTTGCGAGCTAGGGCCTGGTAGAAGACACTTTGGCGTTGGGGAAGAGCGGCTTTGTTCGTGGTCATCATTACGGTCCATGCATCATCGGCATAGGTCTGGAAGCAGTTCGATTCCCATAAGACAATACACTTACTTTCGTACTAAAATGTTTCGGGACAGTAGCATACCTTGAATTGGCTAATATCCTCGACGACCTGCATTTGAAAGTCGCCAATATCATTTACAATATTGAGCACGACGACGATTGTGGTCCCGAGAAGAATGCCAGTGCAGATAAAAGTGCCCAGGATACTGTAGTATACAGCCGAACCCATCTGAAACTTGATTCGAGTAAGATAGGCTACGGTTTAGGATCACGTCATTGGCTCGCAAGCTGCATAGAAGGTGTCTGTGTGAGCGAATTTTCTGCCGTTCGGAACAAATCCTGCTCTTGTTAGGGATATTAGCAGAGCAGAGACACTATAGGTTAAGACTGGATTTATCTCACAAATAGAGCTTCGAAAATTCAATCTATTTTAGGGCTTGAGAAAAGCGTTTCGGCACCCTTCTGGTGTCGGTG